CCCCCCCCCCCCCGCCCCTTCCCCACAGCAAGTACAAAATTCTGCATTAAACAGGCGATCTCTGAGGAACATCTCCCTCCCTGGGACTAATAGAGGTATTTGCTGCACAGGTAGGGGATTTCAGAATACCAGCTCTGCAGCTTACGGTATTTAGGTCCCCAGTTCCAAAATAAAAACATCTATATTCTGAAGATACGTGATGGAGTATGGGTTTAGATCAGCTGACCTGCTGAGTGTTGATATACCAGGCCCTTGTCCTATCAGGGAGAAAAGTTTGAACTAGTCTGATGAACTATTTTTCTTTTCAAATGGATGAAATTCAGACTAGCAGATTTTGCAACAACCCAGTTCTAGTTTCCTGCACATTAGTCATTACAACAACTTTGTGTATGAGTTATTTCACCATTAAGTTGTTTTCGCCTGAAAAATGTAACAAAATAATCCAATGTCAGTGTAGCTATATCAAAGTTACATATATTTGCTAACATAATGTAGCTCCATAAACTTCAGGCACAATTAATCATGCTCATTAATACAGACATTCAAACATGACATCTCTCTCTTTCCTGAGACAGTGGGAATCAACAAGACATCATCTTCTGCAACACGTCTGAAGGCTCAGGTAATTGTCCTCCAACTTCAGAAGTTTAAGCAAGAGGAGAACAACTGAGATACAGTAAACCCTAAGAGCGTGACCAACACTTCCATATATTGATATTAGAGAACTTAAACAGTTGATTCCATCTCCAGCATGTACTCCCACCAAAACACATGGACTCCAAGCAAGTCAATCATTAATATAGTGCAATTAGGTCTATTTTTATATCAGAAAGGTCGCGTGACTGCCTGGTCAAGTACAAGAGGAGTAAATGGCTAAAGACTAGCATTACTTAGACAAACTGCACTGCAACCCCCAACACACACACTTAGATAAACTGACTGCAAATGCATCAGAATATCACAATTAAACCTGACAATAAAAGCATCCTCTATTGGGCAGACATTTAAAAGAAATTTTAGCTCTTTAGTTCTCAGTCACAATTCAAGGTTATGTGTAGATGGAATATAAATGGCTATTTTTCTTTCAGACTGCTAACACAGTTTATCTCTCTTGAGTGTTAACATACATCTGTCTGCTTCTAAAAGCATACATCCATACAGCCTAACACAAGCAGGTTTAACGGCCTCTCCAAGCTAACAGGCAGGGCAGGGAGAATTCTGAAGAGCTAGAAAAATAGCAAGGGCTAAATCCACGGTCTGTTGCCAATAATTTGCTTGTCACTAACTCTATCTGGCTTCGACACTGAAGCTAAGGAACTTATGATCTAAACAAATGCCAGGGTAGTATTATCAGATTGCAATAACCTTGGTGTTGGAGACAGTGAGAGATATGTGCAGTGTAGACTGGTTTGCTTTGCTTGCTTGCCTGCCTAAAATTTATGGACAGGCTAATTTTAGTACAGGAATGGCCTTTTTTCAGTATTCTTTACAGTCCAAATGACAAGGCTGACCAGGGGAAGGAGGCTCTTTCAACATTTCAAATTAACAGAATGAAGAAGTGAAGACAACCAAGGGGAGAAAACAAAGGTAGCAATATAAGAAGACAGCTGGGAAGAGCAGAGGTACTTAAATACGTGACAGGTCCACAGACAGCCTGTTAGAAACATTTACTTGGCAGCATTTAATTATTAACAGCAAAAAAAGAGAAGCAGAAAGCTGCTTTCCCTTGCCTTCAAATTCTAGCTGCAGGAACACCTGCAAACTTTCAAATATTAATGACAGAAAAGATATTCAGTACAAAGATCCCCAATAGCTAACGATTGTGCAACACTATCCGTGGCCATTTTGCAAACTACAAAGGACATAAGTATCACATATTGCTTGGAAGCAACAAGAAGCTAACATAAAAGTTGCTAGAGTCCTTGGATTCAGCTTATCAGTCCTGGTACTGCAAAGTAACTGTCTTAGAGAGTAGCCTTTTGAAACACAGACTATCTGCTAGCGATTGCACAAAGAAGGAAATTCTAAAAACAGGGAATTTCCTTTTCTGGCAATACAGAGTATCAAATGTGATTCATGTCATTTCTGTGCTCTGGGTATTCCTGGATGCTCTGACAATCCTACAGGAGTTTCTTGTAAGACGGAAAACTTTTCAGATGCTACAGCTTCCTGTAGGAATTAGACATAAAATACAAGATTTTAAGATAATATAGTTTGATATAGAACCACCCACTTCCCTCTCACCACAGCTACACAGCACCTGCATCATCCCTCCTGCTGCCCTCAGACACCACCTGGGGCTGGAGGCCACTAAGCAGCACCAGGTTATTTGCTCTCTTGTCCATTGGCCCTGAAAGACTGAGGAACATATTGGCAAATTCTACCAGGCACCCTAAATCTGGCATTCAGTTGGGCAACGTCCTGGCTGCCCCAATATCCCAACAGCAATCGCCCACTTAAGGATGTGCTATATATATATATAGGTTTCAGAGAGCAGAAGGCCACCACGAAAATAAACCGGTAATAAACATTTACTTCAGAGAAATTTTAAAATATTCAAGGAAGAAGCCGCAGAACATCAGCTTTGAGTTTAAAGAGCTCTTCATGTGAACATAAACTGCTCCTTTAACTGGGAGCAGCCGGCAGAATAAGCATAAATTGGGAGTATTTGGGTGAGCATTACCAGCCATGAGAGGGGCTGTCCTCGCCTCATCCCCAGCTCCAGCCACCCTCTGCAGATCAATCAAGGGTACCAGCGGGGAGCACCGACCCGCGCCTTCACGCCCAGAGGCGCCCACGGGCCATTTCACCGCCTTCCAGACTCTCCAGGCACCGGCACAAGCTCAGAGGCTAAACCCGAGCCCTCCCGGGCCCGATCGCGGCAGAGGGGAGGGCGCCGCTCCTTCGGGCAACCACAGCTCCCGCGGGGGCCACCGCGAGCCCCAGAGCCCACGGGCACAGCGCATCGGGGGCGCGCCCTCCCCCTTCCCTTCAGACACTCCCCCCCCGCCCCCAGCCGCCGATCCGCGACCCGGTACTGGGGGCGAGTCCCAGCGCGGCGCCAGTGGAGGGGGCCCGGCGAAGGCCGGACCCGGGGCAGGCCCCCTCCCGGGCCCGCCCGGCCGCGAACACGCTGCCGAGGTTCTGCCGCCCGGTACCGAGTCCCACCCCACCGGCCGGCTCCCGGTGCCGGCGGAGGCGCCCCCAACCGCATCC